ACTACCCTCACACACACACACACACCACACACACACACACACACACACACACACACACACACACACACACACACACACACACACACACAAGTATATGCTTACTGCCTCTGTAGGCTCACACATTTTGACATTTGACTCATTTGTGTTGCAATCAGTGTTAAGAAAGCTCTCATCTTGGTTATCGATTGGCAGGTAGGAACATCACACCATTGCCATTTACTTATCATCTCTTTGACAACAATGTTTGCCTCTTCAATATTTTTAACCTGTAACACGGCTCTTCCCTCCATTTACAGCTATCTGGCTTCCACTGGACAAGTACCCAATGGTAAGTGGGACACAAAGAAAACCTTTAAGAGGGTTTAAACATTTGAAAATGTGTGTCCAAAGTACCTGGTTGCATTTACTAGTCAATTTTCAGAAAATAAACCAGTAAGGTTTCCCTTGCGTTAATTCCTAAATCCTCATTTGGAAAGCTTTTTCTGTTATGGTAACTGACCTGGTAATCCTTTCCTACAAAACTCAAACTAACTCCCAACTAGGATAAACTCAATCTGAAACAGTTTTAGGAGGGATCAGTCATATACCCATTGCTGTGTTATGCTATAAGTTATATAACATATTAAACTGAAAATTCTTGAGTAAGGAACCACTTCTTCTCTCGCTGTTGGATATGCAAAAGGCAATACAATTTGGTACAAAAGCCTTTACAAAAGTTGTATTTATTATGAGGCTTCAGGTAGCATTTTTATTAAAAGATACAGACTGCCTGACATGAGTAGCTGCTTGTCCAGTCTGCTGGAAGGGGCTGTGAACTGCTCAGGCTGGGTGTTTGTTATTGTACAGCGCCCTCTTCTGTTCTAAAAGGTTGCATGACTTTTGTTTCCCATCTATAGAGTTTGGTCTGCTGGTGGCAGTGTGAGCCCAGACAGTTATCCCAAGCAGCAGAAATGGAAACAGTACTTAGATATTACTTAGAAGTACCTAGTTAAGTAAAAGTATAAATAATAATGGTATTAAGAGAACAAAATTAAGTCCTGAATTAAAAACGTTACTGAAGTAGAAGTACAGAAGTATTATCAGCTAAATGTACTTCAAGAATCAAAAGTAATAGTACTCAGTATGAGTCAAGGTAGTGGAGTAAAAAGTATGATATTAACCTCTAACATTTTGTGAAATAATAAATAATGATAATTCATTCCATTTTTTATTAGAGCGCTTTTTCAAGCGCTTTACATTACATATTACACATATTGGACATGTAACGGTGAATACGAAATAAATAAATAGACGTGATTGAAAGGCATTACGAGTATCCGCTTGAACATAATCAGGACAGAGAGGGTACAGCATGTTCAACTGACAATACTCTGCTAACAAGAGAAACATTAAGGCCCTGAGAGAACACCCACATTAAAGTCTGAGCATGATAAGAAACCAGCACAGTGGGCCAGAGTAGTTAATCATACTGTACATGAAATCTCAACTGTTGCACTGTGCTGGTTGAATAGCAGAAGGATATCTACTCAGTCCCTAGGCCAGAGCAAACACACACTTTATCTTCAGTCTGCCTTGCCCTTTAAGCCTGCAGAGAGCTATCTTATAAAAACAGCAGGAGCGTCATTAATCATGCACGCTGGTTATTTATACCACACATCACCTGTTTGACTGGTCATACTGTAGCCTGTGGGAGTGAATTAGGCCTGGCCTGATTCACAAAAGGCCTCTTTACTGGCCGTTCAGCAATTCTCCTTCACCAGCAGCTTTAAAGACACCTTATTGTGCTTATTTTCAGGTTCATATTTATATTTTGTGCCTCTAATGTGACATGTTTACATGCTTTAATGTTCAAAAAGATTGGTTAGCTGGCCAGCTCTGTTATGATTGGTCCACTGCTTAGAGATGCCCCGCCCCTTAGCCTATCACTTACAATGTTTTGGAGATCTAACCAATAGAAGCGTGAGTGTTACATAGTGTTGCCATTATGTTACGGAAGTAAAGGAGTCCAATTGAGGCGTTTCAGTTGTGGGAGAGAAAGATGTAGCATTTGCAGAACATTTTCATGCACAAAAACCTACATAACACACAAGAGGAAAGGGAACAACCTGCATGTTATAGCTGTAAAACTCACCATGTTGACTATGTGCTCTGTAATATAATTTCCTTTTTAGCAACTTGACAGTGACAGTTTTTCAAATTTTTCCCGAGATTTTTTCAGAACAGCCTGAGTGTAATAAAGAATAATTGTTTGTTGTAACATCAGGTTGCTTCTCTATAGAGAAGACCTGAAACAGAACAGCCTGAGAGAATGTCCTAGTTGACACGTTGCTGCTGTACTGAATTAATAACATACTGATAACTAACTGTGTCTCTGTATGTCCTCCCAGACTGCCGTTTGCTCTCCCTGGTGACCGTTGGCCTCTTCAGGAAGTACATTTCTTTCCTGGAGCTTCCCTTCAGCTGGCTGCTGCCCTGCAGCCTCCGCTGTTTCCTCGGCTCACAGGGCTACAGGCAAGCCAAAGTAAGCTTCACAATGCACTGTTTGTTGGAAAGGCGTGTCACTGTCTCCTATTAGAGGGCACATGTGTTTAGCACATTTAAACGAAGCTGTATGCAGTGTCTGTGCTGAATAGGCAAAAGTGGAGATACGGTTTTAAATAAAAAAAGTAAGTGGTTGAGCATCAAATAATTGCATGATTATTTTCATTGTCTAGATTCATCTATTGATCTCTTGGTCTATAAAATGTCAGGATTAATCGTTTCTTAAAGTCCAAGGTGATGCCTTTAAACGTCTTTTTTATCTCTTCATATTTGATATGCCGATAACGGCATGTCTAACATTTTTGCATAAGAAATTAACTAACAATTCATCAAATTGTTTTCCCTTTGATCGATTATTCTTTGTAACTTAACATCAAGCAAATTCTGTATATAAAAATTACATGTACAGTAAGTAGCAGATATATTTGGACCACGATTGGGTGTTAATTGTGATCCAATATAAAATGTAATGGATTACTTTGTACTCACTAACAAGTTCAACCCTCTTCTCCTTTCAGGATGCCATGTATTGCCACCGCACCCAGCTCCTGTGGTTTCGTTACCTCTACATCACCATGTCTCGATACATGTTCATCAACACGTTCCAAATGATCCCACAAGGTCCAAAGAACCTGAAGATCTATTGAGTTATGAGATAAACTGATGCACTGACTGTTACTTTGTTTTCCTGCTGCCTATCTACTAGATAACTGTGGTGAAGAGTGAATAAGGGTTTACAAATCAGATGAGCTGTTTTGCTCACTGTAAAAAAAAAGAGTTATCAGTACTTTACTTTTTCGAAGAAGACTCAGCGTTTTATCGTAAGCCCTTCCCATAGATAATGCTGACTTTTCGTTCCTCAAATTTTTTTATTGTCATTACACTGTATAAAAGCAACACTACGGATACAGTTTTGTAATCTTATGTCAAAGATTATTAAAAAATACTGTAAAACATTTTTTGATATTGATGATTAAAATAAGCTTGATTCTTAAATCACAGTGTTGTCATTGTGTGTTTTTCAGCTGTGCGTCTGCTTCAGGTTTAGACATATCTCTGATGCTCTTGTGAGCTTGCATGCTTTCTTCCCACTTCTCCCCACAAAACGTCTCCACTGTGACGCTGCGGACAGTACCTGGATCCAGACAGTGTGGAGCAACGCCTGGGGAATAAACAACAACAGCAACGTTATTTACATATGACAAAAACAGCCTACGCCCATTATATAACACCATGGGGCTGAGTCAGAATAGGGTGTGCTGGAGGTGAAGAGAGTCACAAGGCTCCCTTTGTCATACAGTCACTGTGGAGCCTGGACCTACAGTGTGTGGAGGATAGTCTTGGTAACCAATAACAAATCTAATACTAGGCCTGTTATGTGAAATATATGATGTTGAATTTCAAATTGTATTCAAGGGAATCTTTTCTGATGCTCGGGCTTAATTCTTTAAAAACAATCTTTTTTGAAATAATGCTCTGAGAAGGAAAAAAATAGCAAGTTAAATATAATAGGTGAGGCAGTATTTTAAATGTTGTTGCATCCTTGTGTTATTTTTGCCATATTGAGCTCAAAAGGCAACATTGTAGATCATTTAATCAAACTTTTTTTTTATCTTCCCCATGTCACCTAAATTAGTTCTGTGTGTCTCTGTATTATGTAATTGGTTTTTAACAAAGATATTTTGAATCTACTGTATAGATTTTAGGAGAAGTTTTCTTATATAATCTGGAAACTTGGTATGGAACATTTATCTCTTATTGGGAACATAAAGGTTCTGTTTTTTACAAATTTCTGAAATAAAGGGATTTGTTTTGGGCTGAGTTGACTGGAGTAAACACAGCAGGATGTTAGGTAACAACATATGAGCGTGGTGTGACTGTCATGTGTAAACTGTTAGCAATCATACCGTAGCCGTCAGGGTTGGAGCGTGGAGTGTAGAAACTTTGAACTCCACAAGTCTTACAGAAGGTGTGTTTAGCAACGTGAGTGTTAAACGTGTATTTGATCAGATAATCTGACCCCTGTCAAGGAAAACAAAATTAATTTACTTTAAAATGTTCGTCTGATTTCAAACATTCGTATTGTCATACTGATATTCTGTACAAACTGTGAAGTCCACTGAGACAAATGTAACATTTGTGATATTGGGCTATATAAATAAACATTGATTGATTGATTGATTGAAACATAATTAAATATTCAGCTTGAGTTACCTGTAAGAGTGTGAAGTGATTCTTTGGAACAATGAAATGATGGTTTTGTTTCTTTGTGCAAATGCTACAGCTGAAGAAAAACAGACATGATTCAGTATGTATTAACTTGCTATAAAGTGTGCAAGCGACACATGTTGTTTGAAATCTCTTTAACATGACAGGTATTGGGATTAATTAGTTTTTATTTAGCAAAACAAATATGTTTTACCCATTCATTTTTAAAATAATAAATGTCTTGGACAGTCTAGTTTTTGTCCAATACACAGTGTTTATTTCAAATTACATGACAATATAAGATTTATTTTCCTTACTTGCATTGGAAAACATGGAGGTCTGGGGAATTTAGGACTTCAAATCTTACAGCCCCACAGTGGCAGCCGCCTGTGTGTTTCACCAGATCCATTCTGTAGGTATAAAGGAAATAACAAATTATCATGAGAAACACGTTTATTCTGATTTAGGTAGGATGATATTTCAGTCACCTTGATGTCAACAACAGAAAGAATGTGTTTACCAAACTATTCAATGAAGCTCTGATGAAACTTGTGTGCTAGTTTGTTATGAAACCTTTCGACGTGGAACTGAACGTCCCACCCAAAATGGCACATTAAACTAATCAAAGTCCATTAACTGATAAGAGTTAAATTAACATTATAAGCCTCTCTACTTTTGATCCATTCACAGGTATTGTTGGGTCATTGAAATTCACAAAAATAAGTCAAGTTTGTTGCAACAAACCACAGACGACAGTTTTATTTCACGTGATGATGCTTACACAACACTCAAATATAGGCCATAGCTTGCTTGAAAGATTGTTTCTTCCTGGAACACTTTGAGGCAGTGCATAATTATTCCAAGCAAGAGGCAGGGCAAAGTACAACAGACATGCACAAACACATTCCTCTGAACTCTGTTGGAAAGCACTGGCTGGTGTAGTGCATCACGGGTTCGGTGTCATATGACAGGGTGCAGCTGGAGGGGTGGTGTTAAGGGAAAGCTGTGACCCAAATACATAAATTAGGACTCTCCCTGTTGTATCATATCTATGACCCCAAAATAGAACCCCAGAAGGCTACAGACCCCATCTGAGCTTTAATTGAATTTAGGTCACAGTGCCACTGTTGTCTGAAATAATGGCTGAAGCTAGAAAATGGGAAGGCAAATCTCTGGTTTAATTCTAATTATCTTGCCAAAGTCCCTTTACTCCAGGTACACATCGCCAAACTGTTATGTATTACTGTTTTTCTGTATCACATGCATTGTCATCATGCAGGCAGTTAGTCATGCATACCTACAGCCCTTTCCTTAGAATCTTATAGTTACTCAACAAATGAACAAGGAAGAGGAGAACAATTATATTGTGTTCTGTCAGAAGGATAATGTTGAGTGGCCCTGGCAGTGTGTTAGAATTATGAACAGCTGTTACATTATCTGTTTGTGAGTGTTTTCTTTTCTCCTGCCATGACAATTTTCTCATAGCAAATGGTGACTTGACAAAGTACTTTCTGTACAGTGTGTACATCCTTATAAGCAGAAAAGTGCCATACCACTGCTTTCACGAAACATCAGATAGAGCTAAACCAAAACCAAAAGGGAATTTAAATCTATTTAGTCAACTTACACTCTTTATCTTTAGACACGCCTCATATGGTCATTCTGGTTCTCAAACATCACGTTTCAGTATTTAGGTCATTTTTTTTATTGTGCATGCCAGATAACTGGTATCGCCTATTACATCTTTGCAGAGGTGTTCAGGTTGGCTTTAAATCAGGAATGTATTCTTTATTTAAATGGTGGTGTTGTAGGAAACCTGCTGGATATGGGTTGCTAATGAATACAAGGTGGGTAAAGGTGGTTAGTTAACAGTGTGTCCGCTTCCATTTAGCCTCCAAGACCGCTGTCACAGCAGCTGGTAGCAGATGTTTACCAAGCAAGTTTCCATCTGTTAACAGCGACGAATGATGGAGATTAACTCAAATTCCTGTTTGCACATGCCCCTCTGTCGTGTCACATTAAATGCATATTCATTTATAGAGCTGATGAGTTCCTAATGACATAACTTGTATGAAATTGTATTGAGTTACGTTTTAGAAAAGTCCATGTGTATGGTTACACTATAATGGCACAGAATGACACGAACCATTGTCTATTTAGGTCTTGACACTAATTCATAAATATATGTTAAAATCTCAGTCAAAAATACAAGTCGGTCATCAAACAATACTTACTGTAACACAGCAACCAATCGCTGGCAAAACAAACAATCGTGCAGTCCAATCAGAAGCTCAAGGACGGTTTCTGTTGCTAAGGTAGTTCGAGAAAATTCCAGAACCGTAGTGTAGAGAGAGATATTATTCCGCCGCATAAAATAACGTTTACATCCATACAATTGTTTTTGAATAAAATCATCTTTATGAGTAAACATGTGATGATTCGATAAAATAATATTGTGCTATTAATATCTCGAATCGAAATAGTGGTCTGCCGAGAAGTGGTGACTACTTTCACATGCGGAAGGATACTCACAGATGACGTATGCAGTCATTGGTATATAGTACAGTGTTTGTCAGAACAGCAGTTAGTTCAGCAGTGGAAGCTGAAAGAGAGTAAGACTACGCAAGAAGGATCCACAAATATTAACTGCGTCTCTTGATCGTAGGTACATATTTTCTTCTGTTTTCAAGATGTATTGTTGTTAGTTCTTCAACTATTGATGAGTGGATGTTTTAGTAGCTTGTTTCGTGCCACTGCGGTAGAGCTTCGCTTGTTTAGAAGATTGTCAGACGTTGTCTCAAATTTACATTAACTCGTAGTAGTACACTACAGTAGGTTGTAGAATTTATTTTAAAACGGTGTACGTGTCACGAACGAAAGTTATCGTCGTCGAATTAGTGGCAGTCTTATGTAAGCATTAACAATGACTCAACATTTCCAGTATAGTCCATTATCGAGTAACGTTAGCTGAACAAAAGTAAGGTCAATATGATTTCAAAATGGCGCGTGGCGTGGATGTAATAGCTGCTGTTAGTTAAAATTCTGTTTGTAGATGTCTAAACGTATTTTCGACTTTTGATATGTTATTAATGGAAGCCATTTTACAAGTTAGACTTTCACTACATCTTTTATATGAATAATAGGGATAATATAAAAAGACAAATGTACTCTTAACATCTATCATACGTGAGAGCCCATCAATTAAACCTGTTTTACCAATTCAGATTTTGTTTAACCCTAATTTTATGTTTCTCAATTTGACATAGGTACAAACATGCAGATCTTTGTGAAGACCCTCACTGGCAAAACAATCACCCTAGAGGTTGAGCCAAGTGACACAATTGAGAATGTCAAAGCTAAGATCCAGGATAAGGAAGGCATTCCCCCTGACCAGCAGAGGCTGATCTTTGCTGGCAAGCAGCTTGAGGATGGCCGCACACTCTCCGACTACAACATCCAGAAGGAGTCGACCCTCCACCTTGTGCTGCGTCTGAGGGGCGGGCAGTAAAGTGATTAATGATTCCATGTTCTTAACCTTATTTCCCTCACGTTAACGTGCTACGTATGACATGTTATACACCGTATTATAAAGTTGTTACACATGAAGAAGGTGTTAAGAGTTACATGACCAAAAGTTTAATGTACATCACTTAATAAATGCTTAAACTTTATTTCCTGGTTTTGTTCCTTCATTTTGCAAATGTCCCTATTCAGATCAGTACAGAAGCTAAGTCTGGAGCATCCTGTTCTACATTTAAATAAGGGAGGTAGAAATGGGCTCTGGTACATGATGTTCTCTTAAGTGGGAAAGTGGAGACATAAAAAAAAAATACTGATGATGGTAAAGGTGTAGTGAACTAAACTGCTCAATATAAGCTTTAATTACAAGACAGTACATGCATTGTCGACATAACGCGTATACATATCTAAACCATAGAAATTTGATAATGCAACTGCAGTAAATAGGTGAAAAGCATGCTAATGAGTCTAGTAATTTCAATGTTATTGTACATTTTCCGTTATGTAGGCTGTCGAGTGTGAAAATGAATAAACTGATATTTTCGCTCAAAAATCCTTATAACTAGTTGCACTTTAATGACAAAATGTCAAAGCAGAGCCCACAGATTTAGTAATGAAATGCTCAAAGTTGGCACATTTTCATTGCATGTTCGCCTATGGTGTCTTTTATATTTGAAGGAGTTTAGTCATTCGATATGAATCAGATTTGATGGGTAAGTCAAAACCATATTATGTTCCCCTACTCAGTGAATGAACTTCTTCACTGCTGGAGGTGAGCTTCCCTATGAAATAAAGTATTTTTAATAATAGGGGTGTAGCGCCGTCTAGTGTCAAAAGGTTGAAATGTTAGGGGAAAGGAAGACTAACAAATATATCAAAGAAACAAGGGAAGAGCATTTTTGTAAACTTGGGTATAAAAAAAGTGCAGCATTAGATTGCCTTATGCCCTGGGTGTTAACAGGCAGGATCAAAGTGTGTCTTTGCAAGGTTGGGTAGTGGACATGCTTGGCATTAAAAAAAAAAGTTAAGTTTAAAGGTCATGAATTATTGTTTTCAATTGGAGCCCTAAATGGTTAAATCACAGAACAAAATAAATAAATAGATTCTTCGTGTTAATTGGTAAGAGGTTACATTTATATACCAATGACCAATACAATGTATATCTTTAAATACAAAAATATATGTTTAATGTTTCATTTAACTTTTGATTTACCTTGGGTGTCAAGCGTAACATGACTTATTTATTGAAGCATTTGGTTATAGTTAGTTATGAATTGCATATTAAAGTTGTGGCCCTTAAAACCCTTTATAGTTTTGTACAGTATGTGCAACATGAATATGTGACTGTGTACATATAGAGTGAATATAGTGACAACTAAATCAAAAATTGTTATTCAAGCATTAAGAATGTTACCTACAAATAAACCCAGCAGAAAAGTTAGGGTACGTGTACGGGATAACACTACAGTCTCCAGTGAGCAAAGTAGTGTGGATTATGGATATAATAAGGTTTGTGCAGAGGCATTTTGTGTCTAACAAGTGACATGTAATGTAAACCAAAACTAAACTGGCTCAGCATTGTTATCTTGATAATTGGGTGACAGCGGTTATCCATGTATATATCTTATAGCACTGCTGACTTGAAAATCTGTTGATTGTTTGTGCATCAAGATCAGGAAGATATATGACAAAATTACATGAAACCCTACAAGTTAAATTGTGAAAACCTGAAACACACACAGTATATTTTAAACAGAGCAGCTATATTCTAACAGAACATGAACAAATATCTATTTGATCATTTCCGCCTGTGATCTTTGGATGTATGTCCGGCCCAGAGATGGGAAGATAAGTAACAGGCATAAACAATGAGTGTTTAAATTATGTAGGGTACATTAATACTAAGGGTTAAGAGGTTTATTCATCATGAAAAAAGGCTTCTGCATGTTAAAACAATTATAAAATGTACACAGAAATCTTTAGGCTTTTGAAGTTTGTGTTATTGTAGCTTTCATTAACATTTAAAACAATGTTTATTGGTCATATAACTTTCTTTCTTTGAAGTGAAGCTAATATAATAAACTTATGTATAATACATTACAGGTTTTATTTTGAAACACAGAATGGGAACTATTTTCCATTGCGGATGAATATTGCTCTATGACGTGTAGTCTGAAGTACAAGTTATCCTGTCCCCCTGGCAACTGCACAGTCAGAGAGAGGTGTTAGTGAGGGACGACTAGATACCGAAACAAATTGTGAGTAAAATCGTTCGTTTAAAATTGTTTTACATTTTTTTCCAGGTTAAATGTTGTATTTTATTACATCAATCTACAGCGTCCATTTGTTTTCAACAATTTTTTTGTTAGCAGCTAGCTAACCACTTGGTAAACAACGACTGTAGAGGCTGGTAACACAACCTACAATTAGCATTTGTTTTTAATGTACAATATCTGTTAACCTAGATTACCTTTATTCTGTATTACCTGCTATGTTTATTTCTTTATAAATTACTCGACACGTTTATCAATAACGTCAAATACATGGCTAACGTTGGTAACAATGGTGGTGAGACATTTCTAGCTGCATCGTTCATTAGCTGGTAACGTTAGTTGAACAAAAACGAAGGCAAACAACAATACCCTTTTAAAATGGCGCTGGTGCTCGAATCACCGGCCTCCTACCAGTATGTTCATGTTATTTACTCACTTTTAACATTTCTGCTGAGATAAAAATATTAAATAATGTCCCCTAAGAATGGCGTCTGTATGCAAAACACATGAACAAATGTAACAACTCAGGTATAACGTTCTTTCAGACAGAAAGCTTCATTAACAACATAGCCTTATATTTAGTTGTGCTTTAAAGTATGTTATTTTTAAAGTAAGCCTTTTTACATTATAGGGTATCAGTAACGTGTTATAACTTTTTTCCACAGGGGCAAACATGCAGATCTTTGTGAAGACTCTCACTGGCAAGACCATCACCCTTGAGGTCGAGCCCAGTGACACCATTGAGAATGTCAAAGCTAAGATCCAGGACAAGCTCCCACGCCGGCAGAAGTTCGACCAAGGTCGCTTCTAGCGGACCGACGACGCAGCGCCATTACGGGAAGAACGGAGGACCTCAGAACCGGAAGTGCGAAGACGTTAAGCCGACAGCGACCCGAGTTGGTGAGGTCTCCACGTACGCAGAACGGTCACTACTCAGAAGTGTTCTAGACGTACTGGAGGAGAGTCTCTTCTTGGTCCGTACCTCCCAACTGAGAAAGGACGCCTACAACATCAGTCTCTCTCACGACGGTAGGAGGTGTGACGAACGTCGCGTTTCTAGTTCGGAGACGACCGCCAGCCCC